TATAGTTGTCACATACCGGGTTATATAGTTGTCACCTTTTTGGTTAAATAATTGTCACATACCAGTCATAAAGTTGTCACCTTTTGGGTTATATAGTTGTCATTTACTGGGTTATATAGTTGTCATTTTTGAGTTATATAGTTGTCACCTTTTTGGTTAAATAGTTGTTACCTACTGAGTTATATAGTTGTCACCTTTTGGGTTAAATAGTTGTTACCTTTTGGGTTAAATAGTTGTCACATACATTTCATATAGTTGTCACATACCGGGTTATATAGTTGTCATTTTTTGGGTTATATAGTTGTCATTTATTAGTACCCTAATAAATGTTACAATGGCCATGCTTTGAAATGTATATTTAAGTTGTCGCACGTTATATACTGTAGTTATAATATAATCAGTGTAAGAGTGCTATATGATTAACATTGTTATACAGTTGTCACAATGAGATTCATAATTGTCAAGCTTATACAAATTACAATTTGAGTTCTATAGTTACCAGAGAGCTACATGATTCGTCATAGCCAAAACAAAATTGAGTTCCCTTTCCCCAAGGATGCTCCAGGCAAAATTAAGTCAAAATCCACTGAGCTGTTCTGGACTAGTAGCGTTTTAAAGGAAAAGTTTGTAGACAGGCGGATGGACGGACAAGTGACGCGGAGACGTACACGTTCCAGGGCACAAGCTCACCGGTCCTTTGGACAAGATGCGACAAATATCAGCGTCAACAAATCCATGTCTGCTATTTAATTCTTAACAACACAACCAATAATTTCGTCATCTTATAACAAATAAGATTAAATTTATTAGTGATAGCTACACCATAAACATTATTTATACATACATGTAAATGAGTGATACTGACCGATATATGACCAATGGTCTTATTTAGATGAGGGATGACCAGCTGATCTCTGACCAGCTGATCGGTGTACATGTAAATGATGAACACTGGTCGAACACCATCCTCGATACTCCAGGGATTACGCTCAGTTACGCTCTCTACATCCCTGAAAAATGTCGTAGCAAAACTCAAAAGGCTCAGTCTCTGCCACCTTGTTGATGAGGCAGGTACACTAGTTTGATACTTTGATGTAACTCGAAAGAATCTTGTGTTCGCCTAAAAGTAAAATCTTCAAATGACAGGTATTAGCCTACTAACTGGTCAGTTTTTTTTTACCGAAGACCTGCAAAATAGCTAGTCACGTGCCTTCAATTTTGCTATGACATATTACAGGGGTGCAGAGAGTGTAACCCCTGGAGTATCGAGGATGGTCAAACACTGACCAATGGTTTTATGATAATGAGGAAAGACCACTAGCCGAAATCTGACCAATGGTTTTATGCAAATGAGGAACACTGGCCACATACTGACCAACAGGTTTTATGCAAATGAGGAACACTGGCCGAACTCTGACCATTGGTTATATGTTTCACAATGTGTATAACAAAGTATTGCATAATAATAATACAATTCTGATTATCATAGACACATAACGTATACAGTGATCAGTCTGGACACATAGACACATCACACAGACAAGGCAGTAAGCAAAGGTGACACAATATCATACAAGATCATGTTTACATGCCCTATAAACTTCGAAGCTTCCACCTTCCTTACACATTTTTCGGCTTTGTTTCAAAATAAACAAAAGATCCGAATGATATATCTGTAAGTGCCCATCTAGTTGTAAAAATACAAGTGGTTTATGAGTATTCAATGATTTTATTTTTTTGAACAATAATGTACCAATATTTAAATATTTCTGTTTTCTTATATTTTTTTTTTTGGAATCACTAAAAGGCTTAATAAGAAAATCACTGTTTACCGGGAAGTTTTCGCTGCAGTTTAATTTTTTCGCCTTTTTCATCCCACGTAATGCGGGCGAAGTTATCATTACACAGTTTTTCACCTCATTTATTTGTCAAAAAATAACAATGACCAAAAGGCTAGAGGGCCTGTATTGTACACGGTCAGCAGCCGTATCAGTACTAGGATATACAGAAAAGTAGAAACTTCTTACAAAAGATGATGGCAACAATGTCATGTACAGAACGATATGAAAAACGAATACCACTATAACAGACTTCTCCATGTATACCGCTCAGTTATATAACACACACAAAGATTTTTAAATGAACACAGCAGCAGAAAAAAAACATCTGTATTTGGAAGACAATTAATTATCTCATCTAAGCACAAGTGAACAAGACTTTGAATTTGTCTATAACTAAATCACGACCAAGAAAATAAAAGATACGAATGTGAAATTTCCTACAGTGATACTGTTGTATAAAAAATAATTTGGTTTCCTAAAATGTGACTTCATTCGATGTCTAAGTAATCTTGGTAGTTGAGTTGAACTAAAAATCTAAATTAACTGAAATTCAGTTTTTGTGAAATGTGAAGTAAATAATTTTGTGGGGCCTAAAGTTCGTGTTTTCCACGAAAAAACTACTATAACGTGGGTAGATAAATTTGTGGATTACGAGTACCCACTCGTGCGGAGAATTGCTTTACATCGAACTTGGTGAATTACTTTGTGGACGAAGATTACCCACGATATCAAAGAAACTTAAAACCCCACAAAAATTATTGAATACACAGTCATTACAATTTGCATTTTTTTCCCAGTGGAGAAAATATAAACATTCCCCAATATTTGGTAAGTGTATTGTAATGTATACATTGTTTTCAAAATACACTGAACACAGGCAGAAATAAAATAGTTTCTTCAACTAAAGAAATCAATGTCATACAAAAGATTCGTTTTATTTTATTTTTATCCTTAGAAAATTTTAAATAGCAGTAAAGATGGCTGGTCAAGAAAAGATAACGGCTACAACAGGGAGTATTGTTGGATTATATACCTTAATAATATATATAAAAAAACATTTTCTTATAAACAATTTAACTTTACAATCGGTAGCAGTACTGGAAGGATATTTGAATCACCCAACCCCATGCCAAAGGGAGATAATTACGCAAAAAAAACTTTCATAGATAAAGGGAAATAATTATACCATTTCGTGATTTTTTCTTTAATTACCAAAAAATATATAAAAAATCATAAAGGAAGGGAGATAATTATAACATTTCGTGGGGGGATAAACTAATGCACAAAACAATTGAGCTACCTGGACAACGGAAGTGTGCAGTCATACTTATTTTTCGTTTAAATCCAAACGGAAGTTAAAGGGAGGTTACTGCATATAGGATAAAACACAACGCAGTGGGATCGGGATCCATAAAAGTATAGCACATAAAATATTTTGGAATTAAATGTACCAGTAGTATATTTGCATTACAATGTAAACAATTCTGAAGCTTAAAAAAAAATCAGCACCTTTATATCTGGTTCAAATTTCACAACAAAAATGTAAAGAAAATAGTTTTCATTTAAAAACATGACATAAACGGTGAAGAAAAATTTAGACAAAGAAATCATGGTATACAAATCTATTAGTCATATTTCATTTTTTAAAGCATTTTCAAAAAACTATTATGTGTAAGATAAATATTCTATTTTGAGAAAACAGAATTTAAAGTTCTTTGAACTTTCTTTGTGGGAAATTTGGCCTTAACGATCCCTGTACCACTGCCATAAAATGAAACATTGCATTTGAAACTGAATTTTTCTGGAATGACTTTACTTTAATTGATCATTTTTGAACAGAAAACTATATATAGCTATACATCGCAGGACTTTCATAAAAACATAACGGAGATGAACTAAACAAAATATATGATCAACAATTGTGTTCAGGGTGGCTCCTGGCTACACTAGGATTCGAACCCTGGACCTCAAGTTGTTATACTGTCGCTCTAACCGACTTTGATTTTCTCGATGGAAGTGAAACGGACCAACTGGGTGCTACTACAGTTATATCCAAAGTGAAATTAAGGGGAAGTTACTGTGTACGAAGAGCCACGGTGAAGTGGAACAGGGATCCTTAAATCTTCGCATGGTGGTCAATAGGAAAACTATCACATATTCACAAAGCTTTTTACTATATCATATACTATACATGCTCCACAAAAGCACCAAGCAAAATTAATTTTGGCAAATAAATAACAGTAAAAAAATAGAGCTACAAGGTATTCAATATTGTTATCAACATATACTATCAATAACAATCAAAATCTATAGAGGCAACAACATACCATACGATTTATGACTTAATCATAGCAGGTTATGTAACATATGTAAAACAGTGTATGTTTTATACATATGTATATAATCAAATGGTCTCTACAAACAACATGTACTAAATTTAAATACTTTCGCATAACAAGAGGCCCAATGGGCCTGCATCGCTCACCTGGTATTAATCTCACACTTGTAATCTTAAAAGAGGACTAAAATACAGCTACAGGCAGAATATCAGCGTTTGATTCATAAGAACCTATTAAAAGATTTAAACATATGACGCCTGTGACCTTGAATGTCGAGCAAGGACATTAGGTTGAAAGTTGAACAAACTTGAACAAACTTGGTAGTCCTTCATCCCAGCATGCTACAGGCTCAATATCAGTAATCTGGGCCTTTTGGTTATTGAAAAGAAGTCGTTTGAAGATTTTAAGACATTTGACCCCAGTGACGTCCTTGAAAGTGGGTCATGGTCATTCATTTGAACAAACTTGGTAGCCCTTCATCCCAGCATGCTACTGGCCAAATATCATCAGCCTGGGCCTCTTGGTTATTCAGAATTTGTTTAAAGTAAAAAGTTGACGCCGGCCGGACGACGTGCGGCGCACCATGCCATAAGCTCACTTTGCCCATCGGGCCAGGTGAGCTAAAAATGAGACATTTTACACCTTGACTTGGTCAAAAACTACAGTGCGTTATAAAACTTTGAATTAAACCCTATAATTTTTCAACACATCCTCTGAACTTTGGTCACAAGCTCAAATAAAAGAACACATTTAATTTTGTTGTTTATATATATATTTATATATATATTTAATATTTTATATTCAATTCCGACACAAGGACTTCTCAATGTTTTCTTTATATATATATATATATATTGTAGTCTTGATCAAGGGATTTGAATAGTTCACTTGCACGTTTTTAAAATTATAGAATTATAAAATTATAAAAGAATAGGTCGGGACAGTTTAAAACAACATGGAATAAATAACTGACTTATGCTTTTGCTTCATGAACAGCGAATATTTACTAACAAGGGGAACAACCCATCTACTAGAAGTGGTTTGCATTTCAAGGCTACAGATGATTTGCTGTACCTTGGGTGTGGGCCCAGAAAAACACCCATGCTTTCAACCTAAGTCAATGCATAATGTACCTGTATTCTGACAACATGTAAAGAGGATCAAACTACCCGGATTGAAATCAACAAATATCATCACTTATTATCATAAATGTGTGTATTAAGTAAATGCCGTATATGTACGTTCATCTTCATTCACATATATATATATGTACAAAATAAAACACATATTTCACAATGCACAATAATCAATCGACCATATCTCATTTATCATTAATATTGTCCGACACAAATAGTTGACGATCACGTAAGCACTATGTTGCCGTCTTTGATGGTGATTTGTCCCCGTGTGGAGCTGTTGTCCGGAGTTTTTGGTAGACTACGAGAATGATGATGAGAATCTGACATTCTCGGGAAGGTGTTCTGATTGGATAAACAGATTCTCCCATCTACCACCTGTATCGTATTGCTAGCACTGGAGGTGCCCGATACAGGATCTTCACACATTCTGTTATTACGAAGTTCGTTAATTGATTCGTAGTTATGTCCCCCTGGCAGGGAAGTACTTTGTGACGGGGAATCGGAGACTGTGTTTCTTTCAGAGTTTGTTATATCAGGCTCAACAGCCACAAGATTCGGCGAAGAGCCAGACTGATTCTGATTTGACAGAGAGTCTGAATGACTCTGCACAGCTCGATCCGGGATCTCCGATATGAAGAGATCTAGATCACATTCCCAAGGAGCATCATACAGACTTTCGTCCTCCTCTTTGGCCCCTCCCCCACATTCTAATGCCCCACCCTGGGGGTTGTCCCGGGGTGTGATGACGGAGGAATTCCCCGCTTGACATACCAGACTGGACTTGCCCCTTGGTGCACAATTCACTTCAGCCCCTTGTAATACTGAAGAGCTTTCTGCAGTCAATTCAGACACAACACTTGTTGGTGAAGTTGAAGATACAGCATCTAATGGTTGCAACAGAGTATTAGCAGGAAGAGCTTGTGTATGCGGAGGTAGGTCGTGTGACTCAATGTTTGCTGGTGGGTGACGCGACTCAATGTTTGCAGGTAGATCATGTGACTCAATGTTTGCTGGTGGGTGACGTGACTCAATGTTTGCTGGTGGGTGACGTGACTCAATGTTTGCTGGTGGATCATGTGACTCGATGTTTGCTGGTAAAGGTTGGGATACAATATTTGGCGGTAAAGCTGGGGTTGCAATATCTGGAGGAATATTTGCAGGTAAACATGGAGTTACATTATCAGGGTGAATATTTAGGGGTAAAGGAGGCGATACATTATTAATTTGATGAGGTGGAAGCATCATGCTTAAAGGATTTTCTGGAGAGTCGCATGGAACAGTCACACAACCACTAGCCAATAAATCTTCACTACGGTTATTGTCACTGGGAGGTGACCTTATTGGAATAGCACAACTGGACTGTGCAGGCACCACTCCTTGATGATTGCCACCAGGTGGCGCTGATAAAGCTTGACCAGAACAGCTAGTCTGTCCTGAAGTTGGCAGGGGAGGTAAGTCTCTCTGCGCACTAGATGTCACTGGAGGGGGAGAACTAGGAGGAGGGACACCCACACTATTTGCCGAGTCAGTCCCACCCAACATGATCTGCCCTCCCTGTACCTGTAGCTGAAGTGGCTGGGTATCACTTGTGGTGGGATCACTGGAGGTAGGAGAACAACTCTGGATTGTAGGCAGATGCTGGTTGCGGAGAATTATTTGGCCACCCTGGACTGCCATATTTGGTTGTTTGGGCAGGCCTCGGGAGGTTGAGGTGCGTGTCGAGTCTCCACCCCGCGGATGTTGTGTGCGACTAGACTGACCTTGACCTGCAGTTTGGCTCCTGGTTGTCTGGACAGACACGGAATGTGTTGGTGGACGAGAGTTATTTTCTGCAGTATACTGGGGAAGTGTCCCTTGATTATCACTGGATGGTGCGGCTTGTCTCGTACACCGGTGTGGGGTTCGGCGATTATTACTTGTTGCTACCTGTAGTGAGTTAGGCCTTTGCGGAAACCTATCCAGCGTACTATAGTCTGGTGGCGCAGAGTTATGCTGAACCTGTATTTCCTCCACCACCTCTGAATAAGTTGGCGGTGTCTCCATCACCACAAACTCCGATACTGGCACATACTGAACACCGTTATTCACATTCACAATAATATTGCCATAATTCTGTCGCCCCTCTAGGAATGGCTGACTCTCCTGTGCCTCCCCACTCGGTCGGGAACTGTTCGACGACAAGGGTTGTGGCCCCTGATGACGCTGAACAACCCGTTCCCTCTGGTTACAGGCGTCACGCTTCATCCTGATACGGAACACGGCCACGACGATTATGGAAATAAACAAGACAATGCCGACCGTACAGCCAATCACTGCGTAGACAGTGGTTTTGAGCCACGTCATCTGGTCCTCCTCTACCGTATCGTCAGGTGGGATGTCAACAGTCGTCTCATTTACTGTAATATACAAAACAAATGTTATTGTTTACATACCAATTTCCCACGCAACTGGCAATATTAAATCCCATTTCATATAAGTAGGACATAAAGTGAATTAGGTTTTCTAGTTTTTAAATGTGAATGTAAAATTTTGCCATAATTCAAAATCTAACACAAATCTTATTAGAAAATTCACAGTGTGAGAAATTCGTGTCTCCTAGGGTTGAGACTTGTGGATTCCTCTATTCATAGCAATTGTATTATGTCACAAAAACAATATAATGACATCAAAATTCATCAACATCATATCTACAAAGCATTGAGTCTGTACCGTCAACATAACATAATGTTTATGATAGGGTCGACAGGATAAGAGAAAAAGAACAATTCACCCCCTTGAGATTTCGGGGAATCTCAATCCTCTGGGAATGGTTCTTAAATTTCCAAACACTCGCGACAAGCCTCCTTTTAGGCACCTTAAGAATCTTCCCTAAGGGATTAAGATTCCTCTATCTCACCCCCCCAAAAAGTGAAGGATTCTATTAATCTTGTTTGATCGAGGATTTACGAAATGGCCCCCAGGGTTATTGGTTTGAATACTATTCCCTACCTGCAGTAAAGTACTGCGGCAAGAAAATACACAGTTCGTCTGACCAATCGCCGCAGTCGTTCTCGTGGTGGATGTCACAAACACGATCTCGGTCGACACAGTGACCGTTGAGGCAAGGAAACTGGTCCACACAAGGGTTCTCTGTAACACAGTAATTGTAGGTAGGTAAGTGTTCGTAACTTTATAGGATATTTTTCATAAATGTGAAACAAATTTTACAGGGTTATTCTGTATACTGAAAAAAAGTTCAATTTTCACCACTTATTACATTTTAAGGACAAATTAACACTGGGCAACGTAGATTTTACCAGTGAAGGATGAATATTTGACTGGGTGAAAGATTCCAGGTAAACAGTATTTGACTGGGTGAAAGATTCCAGGTAAACATATTTGACTGGGTGAAAGATACCAGGTAAACATATTTGACTGGGTGAAAGATCCCAGGTAAACATATTTGACTGGGTGAAAGATTCCAGGTAAACAGTATTTGACTGGGTGAAAGATTCCAGGTAAACATATTTGACTGGGTGAAAGATACCAGGTAAACATATTTGACTGGGTGAAAGATCCCAGGTAAACATATTTGACTGGGTGAAAGATTCCAGGTAAACAGTATTTGACTGGGTGAAAGATTCCAGGTAAACATATTTGACTGGGTGAAAGATTCCAGGTAAACATATTTGACTGGGTGAAAGATTCCAGGTAAACAGTATTTGACTGGGTGAAAGATTCCAGGTAAACATATTTGACTGGGTGAAAGATCCCAGGTAAACATATTTGACTGGGTGAAAGATCCCAGGTAAACATATTTGACTGGGTGAAAGATTCCAGGTAAACAGTATTTGACTGGGTGAAAGATTCCAGGTAAACATATTTGACTGGGTGAAAGATCCCAGGTAAACAGTATTTGACTGGGTGAAAGATTCCAGGTAAACATTATTTTTAGACATAACATGATAACAACACAGTAAATATTACTCAATGATTTATATTTAATCCAATTAGAAAAGAACAAGAGGCACAGGGGGCCTTAATAGCTCACCTAGTATTTTATTTTTCAATTTAAAACCTGCTGAGTACCATATACAGGTTTATCAAAGGAGAACAATAAACAAAGTTGCAAGAAGAACTTCATATAAATCTGTTTTGGTGGGAAAGACATGTTTTTATACAAATTAAACAAATTGATTTCATTTATAAATTTTAAATTCCCTTTGCCCGAAGATTATCTAGAACAAGTTTCCTCTATTTCCCCTAATGGGCCCCACCCATCTGCCACAAAGAAAGGGGCCCCACACACCTCAGTTTATACAAAATTGATTCTTTTGTTTCTAAGCATGCTTCAGACTGCATTTGGTTTAAATCCCTTCACTTGTATAGTAGGAGAAATTCATTCAGGCCAGGTGAGCTAAATATATAACAATGTACATTCAAGTCTTTATCTATGTACAACAACATTATACATTTTCCCAAGAACTACATTATGAACAAGTACAATATTATACCAGGAACAATGAGGTGTTTTAATCATTTTTTTTTTAATTTCCAGTCTGAAAAAAATGCAAAATTATAATCCTGTAGATTTGTAACCCTTCCGATAAATAATTGGAATTTACTCATTCACCCTTGAAAATTCATAATGAATTATTCCAACCTTTGAATTGGAAGAGTTCAAACATGACTTCAGGGGTGAATGAATTAAAGGCTTTATCAATTATTGGTGTTTTAAGAATTTTTTAATCTCATTTATATTCATATCTGAAACAAGAGATCTAAGCCAGATCGTGATGCCCACCATAGAAAGATCATGTAATTTTGCTGGTAGAACACATGTTCTTTTCTGTACTCAGTGCCGTGCAAAACAAGCTGCAACATGATCTTTGAGGGGTTTTGTTATATGCTAGATTTTCCTTTCCATTCCAAATTGGAGCTTGTGAGAAACTAGGGATGAAGAAAATCATGCATATCAGTTAAGTTTTTATCATGATCCTTCAGTGCTTTACAAGAAATAGCAGCCACAAAGTTAACATGGAAAATTCGCACAAAATCTAAGATGGTCTCACGGCCATATTTTTCTGATTCACCTGAACCCTAAGGAGTGGAGCAAAGGACTAAGGAGTAGAATATCTTGTTTTGTAATTATTCCTATAGGCATACACCAGAAACTGAAAAGATGGTCATGAGCAAAGGGCAATAACTCCATCAGAATATCATCTAATGTACCTGTACCCCAAACATTTTTTTCCCGCAGTGTTTATAATTAATTTAGGGAATTCTGCCATCTACAGTCCTTAAGGAGTGCAGCAAAGGACTAAGGAGTAGAATATCTTAATTGTTTTGTAATTATTCCTATATGCATACACCAGAAACTGAAAAGATGGTCATGATCAAAGGGCAATAACTCCATCAGAATATCATCTAATGTACCTGTACCCCAAACATTTTTTTCCCCCAGTGTTTATAATTAATTTAGGGAATTCTGCCATCTACAGTCCGGATGTAATAGTTTATCTATTGTGAAAGGTGACAATATATAACACTGGGTAATTTTACCAGTGAAGTGCGGTCATTTCGCTAGGTGAAATGATCTAAAAATCTAATACCTTCACAGTTGTGTTCATCAGACCCATCAAGACAATCCTCCTGTCCATTGCATCGATACCTCACAAATATACAGTGATGGTGTTTCTCACACAGGAACTGGGATGTTGTACACACAGCTCCGTCTTTGGCTATAAAAACACATTCATCTTAGTTCATAGCAGGCCTTTAGCGGTCAAAACACACAGCCATTAAATATAGCTATGCATATTAAATTACTCCTAATATCAGTTAACCAGCCTATTAAATTAGATGATTCATTTCCCCCCCTAAATCCTCATTGATTAGATCATAATAACATGGAGGTCAGTGACATGTGATATTGACTCGATGTTACTATTTTTAGAAACAGCTGTTCAATATTTTCTTGATGACATCACTTCAATTTTGTAATGTCACAGTGCTGTGTCAAATGAAGGACACGTTCCCTGGCGATTTTCATTCATTCTGATTTTCACATGATAAAATAATTAAATGGTAAAATAAATAAATGATATAATGCAATAATTCAGGACTTATATTTCAGTGAATACATGAGCTATATGGACCTGTGAAAGTAATATTGACTGATGAGACAAACAGAAAAAGTCCTATTGACCTTGACTTTGTCTCGGCAGTTTTTGCAGTAAACACACAAATATTTTTTTCTCTCTAATTGTGGCAAAAAAATTAAGACAGCAGACAATGACATTTTGACATCACATTAATGACGACAGACAATGGAAGACAAGATGAGGAAATTAAAATCTTGATGACAGTCAGAGAAAATGTGTTCTATGTGAAAATTTGCATACATTCTTTGCAATCGGATAAAAAGGATCTTTCAGAACTGATTCAGTTCCATATGATTTATAATAAAGATTAATGAAATTTGTCCAAAAGACTTTCTTTACAGCTTGACAAAACCTCTTTTCTGATGTCTTCTGCTGAACTTCTGTTTTTAGATTTCTTTTGCTGAGAGAACCAGAAATAAGTTTTAAGAGAAAAATGAAAAATTTCATATCACTATCTAGGGGTGAGAATTTCAATATAAAGCAGTATTTCAGCAAAAATTGCAATATTTTAGCAAATATTGCCATGTATCACAATATTTTGTACTCCTTGAGATTCATTACATTTATAATGATTTTATACACTGGTAGAAAATATGAAAAGTGAGTATGGGCATCAAGTCAGCTATGAAAATTGGAAAATCATTTTATATAGCTTTGGAAGATACCACACCAAGCGTGCTGCATTTGGATAAAATTGATTCAATCTTAATGTTATTTCTGTACAATTATTTCGTAACTTTGTGTAAACCCCCAAACAGTTAATTGAAAAACAAATTGCATTATGTTGCCATTTGAAAATCATATTGCAATATACATGTATTGGTAAATGTACTGCAATAGTATTTTCCAGCCCTATTGTTATCTTATAGGCTTGTTCATTGTTTTAAAAGTGAACCTATTCTTGAAGAAAAGGTATTAGTTCTGTTATCATACTCACACTTGGCGTTAACACTGATGTAGAAGAGCTTCTGTGTAGAGCCTTGTGAAGTGTTGAACCAACATGTATAGAAACCAGCGTCCGAGCTGTTGGCGTTGTCTATTATCAGTGTGATGGTGGAGTTATCTACCCTTCGCTGGTGAACCTTGTGTTTCTTGGTAATCCAGGAGAGCTGAGCATTCTTTACCACCTAGGAAATGTTGAAGATGTACACTGTATAGTATTGTATACTGTATGATATTCCTGCATAAATATGCATAAAATATAAACACCACAAAAATATGTTGATTCATTTTGAACATGTTGCACTTTCGTAATTGCAGCAAAGTCAAAGTAGAAAATGACAATGAAATAGATTCTATGTTGTTTTCATTGGTGAATGCATATATGATATTTGAGGATTTCCATCTATGATAGGATTTCCATCTATAATAAGCAGAGTGAACCTTAACATGTGGTCATTTGATATATTCTTTATCCAGTTTCATTAAAAACTGTTGCTTTTCTGTACCTTTTATATAACGGTTAGAAGTCAGGTCTGATGTAAAATGTTCAGTTTGTACCACTGAGAGATAGACCCATTTTGAGATACTGTTACTCACGTGTGCATTCATTGAGAGAGATTTACACTACATTTTGAGATTCTATTACTCGTGTGTGGGTACAGGTAATAGAGATTTACGCTACAGTTTGAGCTTCTATTACTCACTTGTGGGAACAGTCGAGAGAGATTTACGCTTAAGTCGAGAGAGATTTACACTACATTTTGAGATTCTATTACTCGTGTGTGGGTACAGTCGAGAAGGATTTACGCTGAAGTCGAGAGAGATTTACACCTACATTTTGAGATTCTATTACTAAGGTGTGGGTACAGTTGAGAGAGATTTACACCTATATTTTGAGATTCTATTACTAACGTGTGGGTACAGTCAAGAGAGAGATTTACGCTACAGTTTGATATTCTATTACTCAGGTGTGGGTACAGTCGAGAGAGATTTACGCTGAAGTTGAGAGAGATTTACACCTACATTTTGAGATTCTATTACTAAGGTGTGGGTACAGTGGAGAGAGATTTACACCTATATTTTGAGATTCTATTACTCGCGTGTGGGTACAGTCGAGAGAGATTTACACCTAAATTTTGAGATTCTATTACTCACGTGTGGGTACAGTCGAGAGAGATTTACGCTGAAGTCGAGAGAGAGATTTACACATACATTTTGAGATTCTATTACTCACATGTGGGTACAGTCGAGAGAGAGATTTACACCTAAATTTTGAGATTCTATTACTCAGGTTTGGGTACAGTCGAGAGAGGTTTACGCTTCATTTTGAGATTCTATTACTCGCGTGTGGGTACAGTCAAGATTGATTTGCACCTACATTTTGAGATTCTATTACTCACGTGAGGGTACAGTCGAGAGAGGTTTACACTTCATTTTGAGATTCTATTACTCGCGTGTGGGTACAGTCAAGATTGATTTACACCTACATTTTGAGATTCTTTTACTCAGGTGTGGGTACAGTCGAGAGAGGTTTACACCTACATTTTGAGATTCTATAACTCACGTGAGGGTACAGCCTAGTGAGGTTTACACTACATTTTGAGATTCTATTACTCACAGGAGGGTACAGCCGAGAGAGATTTACACTTCATTTTGAGATTCCATTACTCACGTGTCGTTATAATTATAGCAGAGAGAGATTACACTACAGATTGAGATTGTATTACTCACGTGTGGGTACAGCTGAGAGAGGTTTACACTACAGTTGACCCGCACACTTTCACCCTCCATAATCTGAATCTTGCGGCGAGGGGGGACAATGGCCATTTCTACATGTAACATGTCCTGGATATTATTGGAGTCCAAAACTATGTCATGGATCTCGGATACACCTGGAAACAGAGGTATCAATGGAAAATTTCTGTATACGACTACATATAAATTCCACTTTCACATAAATTATCTTAGTTCCAATTTTATAACACATGTCATGCAATATAAAATGAAATGTTCTGGTTTGCATAGTGATAGTGCTTGTCCTTTTCGAAAGAGGGGTCCCAAGCAAGAACCTCATAAATGATTTGATTACAACATAGGAATATGATGTAAAATTATTAACACGAGGACCAATTACTGCTCACTTGTTATTCAGACTTATTTGTGACCTTCAAAAAAAATTCAAGGTTTAATTTATTTGAATAGGCTAAATAGCATTGCTCATTATGAATCATTCTCTGAAAATGTTACCCTAAAACTTTTGAATATTTGTTGCAAGATTTTAACTTAGCCCTTTCACCATTGTAGACCATAATGGAACCCTCCATATATCAATGCATGGTAGAGTCTACTAAAGTTACATAGGGGTACACGTGAAAGGGTTAGTTTACTAGTTTGAACATCAACAAGAGGCCCATAGGGCCTGTATCATTCACCTAGATATCTATTGCAATATTGACAAGATATTCTCATTAAGAGAAATATAGCAAATAAGTATCCATGTGCAGGGCCAGGCCACTGGTTAATGGGCTAATCCTGATAGCATGACTGTTGGTTTCTTGATGCCCAGCAATAGACCAAGTCTCCAGGGGTGAGAACAGACCCCAGAGCAATCCAAATAGCATGGATGTATTTCTTTACCATAACCAGCAAATGAGTATGCAGTTTTGGGGGTTTTAAGATTTGACCCAGGGACTAGGTCCTCTGGGTTGGGGCCAGACCACAGACCCAGGTTTGGTTTGGTTTAACAACCTATCAACAGGGTCATTTAAGGACGGCACCACAGACCCAATCCTAGGAACATAAATGTATTTGTTTCATCATGTCAAGCAAATGATTCAGTGGTTTAATGGTGGGGATCTCAACTGTTTTCAAGATAAGACCCATGGACTAAGTCCCTGGGGTGAGGCCAGACACCAGAGCCAATCCTGGTAGCATGTATATATGTATTTGTTTTTTCATGCTCGTCAAATGTATATGTGGTTTTAGCATGAGGATCTAATTAATTTCCAATTTCCTCCTTTTGGACCCCGCCTATATGCTCCCAGGGGGTCACATCCTCCATTCAAACAATATTGAGTCCCCTTTGTTCAGAATAAATAAGGTTCCAATCGCTTTACTGGTAGTCAAGGAGTAGAATTTTGAAGGATTACCCTATATTTAACCTGTTTAGCCCTGTCCCTCTGCCCCAAGGGGGGTTTATACAAGGTTGGGTTCCCTTTGCTCAAGGATGCTTCGTACAGACCAAATTAGATTCTAATACTTCACCAATACTCAAGGAAAAAGATTTTAAAGATTTAACTATATTTCCTCTATTGGGCCCCATCCCTTTGACCCAAGGGGGGGGGCACACACCCTTCATTTGTACAATGTTAAAGAAAAAGTTGACAGAAGGACCCCTTTAGGCAGGTGAGCTAAAAATAGCCAGAATTGTACAGGGGTGAAAGGCAATTGTAACACTAACACTATATACTCAATATAGGCTGCCAGGTTAATATTAAACCATGAATAACCTACCCTTTACTGTTACATAGATACTCTTCACAATGTTTTCGATACGACAATCATATTTCCCTGAATCCCCCATCATTGCTTCGTCTACGGTCAACTTCGACATTCCTGACTGGTTAATCGTAGCTTGTCTGTCCTCCCAAGTGACTGACGGAGCTCTGTGCTTGAAATTCGGAGGCAAGTCCCATTGTAGCTGACCAGTGCCATAACTGTTATGGACCTCACAAGACAAGTTGATTGGCTGGCCTTCTTCCACTGTCACATTTCCATCAGGGGAGGTAACCAAATAAACTGGTTGGGAGAGGCACTCAACTGTAATAAATATAACATTATTGATAAAATTGATTTATTGAAATCACGTTCAATAAAGAAATTATATCTAATTTTATGGAATTTAATTTATCAGAATAAATACAGTATCTTTAATGATGCTAACTGTATATTTAAAGTATTTCTTCTTTAAATTATTTTTTCTTCAACATCATATATTTATGTCTACATTTCTAAATATAATTCATTTACTGACCATTTTGTATAGATATATTTTCAGACAGATTTACAGTTAATTTCCTTTTCTGATTTTTATCGTTTTTAATTCCAAGCAATCTCCTTATAATTATGTTTTTATTTTAAGTTCAAAATTGATTTCTACTAAAATGTTCAGGCCTTCTTTTAATTGATATCTGTTTTTCATGCTAACAATCTCATATAGGGTCTTTTTTAATAAATATAAAATGTTCAGGCCTTCTTTTAATTGATATCTGTTTTTCGTGCTAACACTCTCATATAGGGTATTTTTTTAATAAAAAGTGTTGCTAATACAAATAATTTATAAATTTATCAAGCCATCTGGAACCTACATTTATTACATTTTTGCCAGTGAAATATCGGATTCTATCAACTTGATAAAATTGATATCTTTCACACTGTGACAAATATTTGTCACTGAAAATATCACTTTTTAGTATTGACCAATCATCATAACGGTATCTTCTATTCGCTGCATTCAAAGGCAACGATATTTTGTCACAGATTCACATGAAGCAATGGTAGAATAAGTGGTTGTTATGGTAAATGTTTGGTACACAGACTTAAGTATTTACATATATATATACCAGTAATGACATTTTTATAAGCAATCATACCAGAAAATAGCAGAAAACGTCAAAATTACGTTGAGAATGCCACTCAAAATGACACGCAGCCTTGCTGTCAAGCGTGACGTCATTAGAATATGGCGCTAATAATTACGCTTCTGATTCTCACCCTTTTTTAATGCATTAGATTTTTCATATTTTGTGCTTTAAAAATGTAATAAATAGAAAAGTCAATGGTGTCTTCAGTAATAACAAATATATTTCACCTGTGTGGCTAATATTTTGATATTTTTCACTCGTGCTGCGCACTCGTGAAAAAATATTAGCCACACTCATGAAATATATTTGTGATTACTGAAGACACCATTAAATATCCTCTATACATGTCTTTAGAACATGTGAATATCATACTCTAGGAAGATTTCTTCTACCACTGATTGAATTTTTGAAGGGAGATTTTCACTCCATTTCTTTTAACAAAATCAGCATAAAAGATGTGCCTTTATCTAATCCGATTGAAATCGTCTTGTTACATATGGCTTTGTTAACTTTGTACTACACCTGAACATGAACAGACGTAGTTCGGAATTAATGAAGACATATGCTTGTAACAAATGATTTTAATCAGATTGTTCTTTAATTATATTAAACAATATTCATAAATCAAGATTTGTTCATGTACATATATATATAATCATAATATAAATATAAGCTTTATTTATTTTGCAACAATCATGAAACAAGTACGGTATTTCAATTTATATTAATCAGTCTGTTTGCCAGGTTGTAATTATAATTAGCAGCATGCGGGAGGGTCTGAATTTGGGAGAAAACCTGAATATCAAGAAAAAATCCATGTGGAATCAAACCCTGGCCACCTTTGTGAAAAAGTGTGCTAATTAAATATAACCACTGCACCACCTGACCACCCAATATATATATATAATTATATCATTGATCCAATGTTTTTTAGAACAGTAGAAATTCACTTATTTGTGTTTATATAAATTAGAGGAGCCATTTCCAGCATGTCATGAATTTCTGACATCAAAACTAATAGTAAGGAGAATCTAATTTTTCAGTCACTGAAGTTTCAATTTTTGAAGATACTGTAACAGGATAGGAAAAATGCACGGCCAGACGGGGGTTCGAACCCAGGACCTTCTGAACTCTAGCTAGACGGACACTCTACCAATTGAGCTATCTGGTCGCCGACAATTGACCCAGTCCAGTTCCGGAGACATCACATGTATTGAACCTTGTAAGTGCATAATCTAGATCTAGACCTGTCAAACCGCACAGGTTATGTATAAAAGTACTGTCTGTTCCATTTTCTAGTGGATAGTTACCTATTTATGTCGACTATGCAAAGTCTATACATATTCTATAATCAATCTTGGTTTGACTATGACAAGGTCAAGAAACAAGGCTTGCAGTAGGCCTAACGATCGCCTAGTTAGAGCATGATGTAGACCAATTATCTTATTGCAAAAGGAATCTATCTGAATTTTAACTCTCACAGCAAAACTAGTTATCGTATTAATTAATTCTCTACGTGTTCAGAAATTCAAGGTAGCACAACTTCATACTGGGAGTATACACAAGACGTGAACTATTCTGTACGTGCATGATGCATCAAGCTACATAGCTATTCCAGGGTAATTATCATCTCTATTCCACTGTTTTCTGTAACTGCACTTCTTGCAAACTCCACGAAAGCAATAATTTAAGACGTATTATGAAGCATTACCTTTACCAATCATGGTGAAGGCTACCATACCAAGCCACAACGAGAAATGAATTGTTGTACCCATGTTATGGGTCAAGCAGTAAGCTGTCATCAATCGTAGACATTCTCCATTGTAAAACGGAAGTGGAAATGAATCTGAGACGCCACCTGGTTGATATTCTAGGAGACAAGATAAAACAACTCTTGCAATTTAAGGTGACGGTCAGTTCGTTGCATGCGGACAAACCAGTTCGTCGCCGCTTTTTAAAATGATATTTCAGGGTAAATCCTAACGGCCTTACTAATTTTAAGGAATACAAAACATATCATGACATATTCGAGCAAAAGTACATGTTGTGAACATATTCATTTTATGTATCAAGAGGCCATCTAGGCCTGTATCGCTCATCTTATTATACTTAACGATCTTCATGGCAAGCAAGCTAACACTACAGCCACAGGCTAAATATTACCTCTACATTTTCTGGATCTGAATTTGTTGTAATATTTTTACTTTAAAAGCCCTAGGCTTATTTAATAAATGTCGTTAAATGTGAACAAACTTGATTCTTTCTTATCCTGACAAACGTAGCCTAAATATTACTATTCTAGGCCTTATAAGGACGGTTAAAAGAAGCTGTTTTAGTTTTTAATCATCACCTGTTTTACCTTGTTCTTTGTATGCGGTCTTAAAATTGGGTCAGAGTCATGCATTTTTATTTTATTTATTAATTTGATGGCCCTTCAGTTTCACTGTCTGTAGTCACATCAAGCTAATGGCAAATAGACCCTCTTGGTTATTCAGAAGATTTTTTGACTCATTTGACTTTTAAACTGTGACATGGATCGATGTTGTATTCTAAATGAGGTAATTGGTCAATTATCAGTGATTAATTTAGGCATACAGGTTTTGATATTTTATCATGAATACAGTTTTAACTCTCCATTTGTCAAACTTTTGAAATAACAGAACAGATTCCCCGAAACATGAAGTCCGGGTCAAGCTTTTCACTATATTTATTCAGTACCTGTAGCAATAACATAGGTGATGATGTGAGGTACATGCACGTTCGCCGTTCCATTTATGAAATGTCACCTAATACAAGTATAAAAAAAGTTTTCGCATATCTTTAAACATATCTATCACTGTTAAAATATCACGCTACACTATACATTCTGTTCAAATTGATTCTATCCACTTTATAGAGGATGCTGTATTTAACACTTACCATATATATCCGGCAATAAGCCCATGCTTGGTAATAAGCCCACCAATATTTTTTGCAGTTTCTAGCAAAAATGCGAATAAAAACTTTTTCATTGTCCCGTAAATAAGCCCAGCCCACTACTTTTAGTCAGCGATTATCTGTTGGCCCCAAGGGCTTATTGCAGGATAACTACGGTATATTTTACGTGCGGGGTGAATATTTGATATATTTCAGGGATGCGTAACACGAGTGAAAATATAGAAATAAGAAGAAAAAATCATGAAGACGCTAAGACTAATTCTGTTTAATACGTTTTCCTATTTATAAAAAAAATGGTGTTGGGTGAACAATTAGTTCATCTCTTACCAAAAAAAAATTGAGACACTAAATGCTGTGTTGCGGTGTCATAAATAAGGAAAACGATGAGAAAGGAGGGGAGCTTGTGTTGAACTGTTTCTTTTCTGTTGCTATCTAGCGTGAGACAAAATTAAAAGAGCAGAACATTCGTCATTGGTTTCCGGAAATAGTGGTTTGAATATAAAACAGTTAAAGTATTGGCTTGAGGGATATAACAAATTTCTTATTCCTCCGAGACTAGGTCTATTTCCCGAGGTGAAGCCTAGGCAAATTGGACTTGTCGAGGGGACAAGAAACTTGTTACATCCCTCCGAAAACCTACCGGGAGCCTTTTCTGTTCTTTCAACCTCGTCTGCGCTATTGTATTAAAATCGACGAGGTCAGATCAGGTGCAAGCTCATCCAACCTCTCACATGATAGACTCGGGCATTGCCTGAAGCAGTTACGGAAATTGTCGAGGGAGTTACTCTGCACCCCCAAGAAACTGGCAAACTAGTCGCGGGAGCTAGAAACTTGCTATATCCTGAAATGTTTTGTTACAGTTTTTGTCTTTAAATGATAAAACAAGGCCAAGATTGGGTTCTTTCTCGGCAATTATTCCATGTAACCAGAAATGATAAGAGATGAGTATATAAAACACTAATGATATATACTCAAACGCAATCTTTTATGTACAAACTGATGTGTCTTAACATTCGTCTTTTGCCCCGTTGAAACAGAAAACGTCTTTATTGAGGGATAGAATAATTCTAATTAAGTTCGTTTACTATTCCGAATGATTTCCCTATCGGCTTGACTATTATACTTTGCTTTCGATTTTCCAGCATTCGCCTCCGTGTTATCTGCCGTGTGTTTATATAATTATGCCCCATTCCTACCGTCAGTTTTGAGTAATTAACAGTACGAACGTGTATCTTTTCTGGTGAATGCGTGTGTTATATATTTCATGTTACTATACGTCTTATCTGTTTGTCAACAATAAAGTTGAGAGTATACCCACGATTCTTGACAAGTTTATTAATACGGCATGCTACAAAGTTTGAAATGACACTGACTCATAGTTTCAAGTCACCGAGAAAACATGATATAGATAGCAAGTAACTTTCATTGCTGGTATTAACGCTACAACGTTTGCGGAGGAAGTTTGTGAACGTTAATGACCTTGTTCTATGTTCAAGGCCGCAGAAGTTTTAACATTTACTTTAGCACCCAAACGATTTCTTCTGAAGAAGCTTGCTGGTATGAAATGTTACAAACTTTGTGGAAAGCACTGAACCCGGGTCATATTCAAAGTCTGACAGGAATCATATTTGATCTGTTCAACATACTTACACATCTTCTTCTGAAGAACTGTAATGCCCAGAGTCGTGATATTTGACCAGAACCTTGGTTATACATTTTGTACAAAGTTTGCGAACGTTTATGAACCACATTCAAGGTCACGAGTATTAATTACTTTTTCCTTTTTCTTAATATCAGAACGATTGCAGACCTAGTGTCACATGGTATGTGGTCAATTAATATATAGCGTCCTAGCTGGCATTAATGATTACAAAGTTTGTGCAAATAAATTACCCTGTCCCATATCCAACGTCTGAGAGGAATCAAATTTGTTTGAAATATATCTTTACAGAAACAGAAAGTTTGCAGAGATATCGCAGCGCACAAATCCGTTTGCCAGAACACGTTGCCAGAAGGGCACATATAATGTCGGCGCTAGCGGTGATATTTTGTTGATATTTCACATCACCAGTATGTCACCAGAATGATGCTAGAAGTGCACCACAGATTAGGAAGTCCCACGATCCTCTGTAACTTTTCTAAATATAGCTGATCCCCAAATTCAAAAGTTACAAAATGGCTGCTTAATGATGAAGGCCCGGTGAGCCCAGCAGATATTGGATGTCATATTTACGTAAAATGTACGTTAAATTCTGACGTCAGGATAACGTCAAATATTGGTTAAAAGTGAAAGTCATATTGAGACCCAATATTTCTGTAAGGGAACTCAAACCATTTCTTCTAGAAAGCTTATTAAGAACAAAAAAGTATTTTTGTCAGCATGGAATGTGACAATGTTTGTGAAACAAAATTTCCTGACTCATATAATTCAAGGCCATATCGGGTAAAGTCCTCAAATGACTTCTTCTGAAGAACCAAAATGCCGAAAGTCATGATATCTGACTACATGTAGTAACTTGCTGATATGTAGTGTCAGGGCGTTTGTGAAAAGAATGCCACTGGGAAAAGATGAATGAACAGGCCCATTGAGCCACCTGTTCAGGTTCATTTTGTTAGGTCGCATTCACAAGACAGACAAGTTAACTACTGTGATTGCATTTCAACTGGTGTGACATCCGCTGTCCTTGAATTTTCCAAATTTTCATCCCACCTCCCCCAAAAGGCCAAGTTAGCTTCAGCAACTTATTACCTGGCACATTGGCTGTTTATCTGTAAACTCTTTACCTCACCTGGCACCTTGGCTGTTTATCTGTAAACTCTTTACCTCACCTGGCACCTTGGCTGTTTATCTGTTAACTGTTTACTTCACCTGGCACATTGGCTGTTTATCTGTAAACTCTTTCTTTAAATCTGTTCTTGTGAAGAATAACATGGCTAATTTTGTAGGAAGTATATATCCTTAGGTGAAGATGATTCTGATTTGTGAATAAAAGGGCATAAATCCTTTTCTGGGAACACATAAGGTGCAAAAGAAGGGGAAATTTGTAGCATAAAAATTAACATCCTTGTAATGGCACTGCATTCACATGGTTTTGATATTCTTTATAAATGTCTACAAACATTGCGAAGGAAAGGAAAATTTTCAAACTGATTGAAACAGTCCAAACATTTTTGAAGTACATGTACTACTGTGTAACAGAATAGGAGTCAAGATATTTGACAAGTAGCTTACTGGAATGGAGTGCTACAAAGATTGCAAAAAGACTCGACATTTAAGGATTGACCTTCATTTTGACTGCGTTCATACTACCGTATACGCAGTCAAACCGAAGATCAACTATTATATTTACATATTTTCCTACGATGATGGTACACTCAGAATAAAGCTAACTCCAATACATTTGCTTTTATAATGGTACAAAGCCTCCGTAACGTGCGTAAATCCAAACAAATGAACAGCCTACAGCCTGCGAGCAGCGATGGATCTCCAACGTTACCATTATGACGTCACAATGTAAATTACGTCATCAATAGGAAACAATGGTCTCCAAGGAATCTCACTGCGTATACGGTAATTTATACGCAGTCACGGTTTACACAGCTTCAATGGGAGCGAATGTAAATATATAGTCATATAGTAATTTCCATTGCCTACTATGCCTTCACCTCAACTACAAGCACAGTGTAATGTTTATAGTTTGCAGAGGTCTTATATGAGCTCTGACCTGGCTTAAAGTGCACATGAGCTTATACTGTGGTATGGTTTGACCTAGCATATGTATGATCCATCGAGCAAATTAAAAAAATAAAATAAACAGATTTATCTTCATGAAAATAAACTTTATTTGAGGAGCAAAACAGAGAAATTTTATTTTGCATAATTAAAGATCTCTTATGA